CCCCGCCCGCCGCGCGCCCGGCCTGCGGCAGCGCGCCCCGCCCCCGTCGCTAGGGAAGTGAGGTCACGCAGTATGGTGGCTGGGTGTCGGAGGGGCTGAGCGCCGGCCGTGTCGGGAATCCGTATCCATCTTGCTCGGGAGCTGCGGCGACGGTCTTGACTGTCTCGCTAGTATCGAGCGGCGAGACCAAAGCCACGATGGCATCCGAAACCGCAGGACTGTGAGGCATTAGAAAGAGACCCAGCAGGCCGGGCAGAGCAACAGAAGCGGGTCGCGGACGAGCCGAGCTGCCGCCATGGAGCTGAGGGTTGGGAACCGGTACCGGCTGGGCCGGAAGATCGGGAGCGGCTCCTTCGGGGATATCTACCTGGGTAAGGAGGATGGCTCGCTGGGGATTTAGTTGGCCGTTTTCTGGCTGTGTGGAGAACATCGAGGGCCTAGCCGGGTCGGGCAAGTACCTGGGCTAGGGACACAACAGCAGTAATTTAATATTTCGTTGACATCATGCCCTGATTTGGATAGTGCGGAAATCGGGGATTCTGGTTTACTCGGCTGCCTCTTCTCGTTGTTGTCTAGTGACCTTGGGCACCGTTCGAGTCTGTAAAATGGGCATAAGGGTAAAAATCGCCTCATCTGAAAACAAGGAAGAAAAAAACCCAAAATCGCATAAACCTTAAAAACCCCGCAACCCACACCATTCGGAAAAACGTTTCGGGAAAGAAACGTACCGGGGTTAAATGTCGCTGCAGTGGACTAGGAAAAATTGTTGTCAGAAGGATGTTTCTTTCTCCTTTGAGGCCTAAAAAAAAAAATTACACAAATACAAGTGATTAGGTTTACCTTTAAATCCTTCAAACAATCCTCGTAGTTTGGCTACTCCTGTTGCTGACCATCGCCTAATCGTGATCGCTGTGCGATTGTAAAACGTACAGGATTGGAATTGTCTTTGCCAGTCCATTATTATATATATATAGACATAGTCTGCTGCTGTTGTTTATGACAAGCACACGTAGTGGGTGCAACAAATTTTGAAAGCAGTTCTTTTAAAAATACATATTTGGCAAACTCTCAAGCCATGTGAAGTGGGTTACATCCAAAGAAATATGAGCATTGTCCCGTCCGGTAGACACAAGTACTCTGCTTTTGAAAACTGTGTTAACCTAGAAAAGCAAATCAGGGAAGGAGGGGAAGGTGGAACTTGCAGGGGTTAAGGTTCATTGACTGCATATTTGTGGAAGATAAAAATAATGTCACTTGCTAGCTTATGTGGTACGTTTACAGTGCATGCAGTATGAGAGGTGGGGGCTGTTTTTCTATACATCTTGCAGTGCACAGCTGGCATTCCAAAATAATTCGTTACCAAAAGCTACTTGTTTACAGATAGTGAAATACGGTTATCCATAAGACAGATCATATGCCTGATGAAAAATACGCATTTTTAACTGAAGGTATCTGGTGGTCTAGAGTCAGAGAACGTGATTCTTCCTCTCTGCAATGCATGTGTAGAGGATTGAAGATGTGACTATAGAAGACTGTGGTAAAGCTTGTGCAAAAAATCCTTGTTAGCTTCCACTGGAATTTTGGGGAGCAATTAAGACATCAGTTAAAATCTGAAAAGTCTTAGGTGATTTGAAAAATTTAAACTTGGCTACTGCTCAGATAAATCAGATTGTATTACAGTATTAATATCAAGTGCAAGTGAAAGAAACGTTTATGTGTCACTTTTATCTCTGTGAATGCAGCTTCCAACAGTGAAGTTGTACAGAAAGTAATAGTTCCCTGAATGCTCGTGTATATATTAATGCCATACTGAATTCTGTGCAATAAATCCTCTGGGTTTTACATTTTTTTAATTTCTAAATAATTGTCCTGGATTTACTCTCGGGGTTTACTGCAAATGTCATGCCATTTACATGGAAGCATGGCTCTGGCATGGAACTACCATGGAAGTACATGAATGGAAGATCCAGCTGGTGGCATATGTTTTTCCAGGGGACATTACTGTCTCTCAAGAACTGAAGCCTTTTGTAGAGTCCCCTTTGCTTTGCCTACCATTATCTCGTAGACCAGATGTTTGAAAACTGTGTTGTAATAACGAAATGTGGTCGGTTTTTTAAAAATTCCAGTTACGACTCCATTGTTTAGACTGTACAGGAGACGTAAGTGTCTTAAAATAATTTCTAAAGTTATTTCAGAAGTCAATATTTATTTTTAAGTTGACGTGCTTTCCGATAGGCCTTGGTGACTTTATAGATTATTTCAGCATACGTTCCCTGTTCAGTTTTGTGCTTTGAAAATGAAAATATGACTATTTTTGCCTGTTTCCAGTCCCCAGGTTTTGTCTTAAATGCAGCTACAAGGGTGTTGAAGACATGTCAGAGTAGAGGGGAACCTCTAGTTAGGCTTTTGAAAGTGGGGATCAGATCGAACCATAGATGATGTACTTCACATGATCCTGAACTGTGAGGTAAAGCAGAAAAGGGCCAAATTCCTAAAGTAGAGAGACTTGGAGATAATATCTGTGAAGTGTCACACTTTTCCTTTTGCTATTTCCTTTTCTCCTGTAGTTTGTAAGTTTGCTTGGCTGTGAGAGTGTGTATTTTCTTGACTGTTTCTATTTAAGAATGTCAGTTTCTCCCTACATACTTTGAAAGTGAACAGGTAAGCCATTTTTTTGATTCTTAAAACAAGAATTTAGTGAGATTTAATGAAAGCTTTTGCAGACTGCACGTTCTTTAGTCTAGATGATCTGCCTTCCAGCCAAGTAAAATGAGGTGTCACGCTACAGCTGGACTATGTTGAGATCTAGGGAAATTGTAGTCTCTATTTCCAAGACATAAGAGGAGGTGATTTGAATTCTTAGTACTTCTTCTGTTGGCAGGTCTGTTTGCCACATTTGTAAAGATTAATTCTGAGCATTTTTACCACAAACTGGAATTGGAAAGACATCCCTGAGAAGATGCTCTTGGTTTAGTTTTGTTGTTTTTCTGGGGTTTTTTGGTTGGTTGTTTTTTGGTTGGTTTTTTTGGTTTTTTTTTTAATGGGATAGCAGCAATTTTGGCTTCTTGTTATGCAGTGTCTAATAGTTGTCTCTTGTAATCCTAGTATGTTGGAGAGTATCTAAAGTTTCAGAGGAATTTTTAGATAATCATGGCTGAAAGTACTTTATCTCTGGATGTTTGCCATTTAGAAGTAGTTTGTTGATGCTCGTTTTTGTTTTGGTCTTGGCAAAGGAAATTTATCTTAAAAATATTTTGACCAGTGTTTTAATTCTTCTGGTTTTAGGAACTGATATTGCTGCCGGAGAAGAGGTTGCAATAAAGTTGGAATGTGTGAAAACCAAACATCCTCAGCTCCACATCGAGAGTAAAATCTACAAAATGATGCAGGGTGGAGGCAAGCAAACTATTTTCCATCTTCAAAGATTTTAATGCTTTTGCACCTTTGATCTATCTGCCACCTGAAAGTTAATGTTTGGGATCTGTTTTGAGAAGTAAGGAGAAGGTGGGAAAGGCATCAGGGTAGATGAAGAGCAGCATTTCAGTTCGGCAAGGGTTATAGAGGAGCTGTTCCAAATCGTGGCTATCACACTTCACGATAACCAGTAAGATCCTGCAAAGTTTCTCATGGTTCCTGAAGTATTAAAAGGGAAGGACCTTGTGCAATGTGAAACAAAGCTTGGTCCCAGAACAGTGATTTATTTCTGATTCTCATGGATCAGTGAAAGATGGTAACCACTGCTTTGGACTATTTAACCTGACTTGCTTATTATGGTAGCACAGTTCTAAACTTTTAAACATCAGGTTATTTTTTGTTGTACCTGTTAGTGTTCTTTTTTCTGTGTTAAAAATATTTCTTTGCTGGGAGAGTTCAAAGACAAAATGGCATTAGTAGTGGAGAATAGGAGTGCAGCAACTTCGTAGCTACTATGTGTTGCTTTGCTACAGTAACTTATATATTTTGGAATTCCGGAAACCTAACATTCCTGTGTAGTTCTGGGACTTAAACCCGCTGTAGTACAGTTTTGTGTTTGTTTCATAGTCCCTTGAATTCTTCCTAAATGAGGATATGGTGTGCATAAAGAGTACATTCCATGCTGTATCTCAAGTACATGCCAAGTAGGGTAATAAGACCTCTAAAAATTTATAATAATGTGTATTTGCATTTAGTTATTTTTTAATTCCCACCTCATTCAGTTGACACCTGCTTGTAACCGATATAGCCTTCATAGAATAACTCATTTAAAGGAATAACTTCCTTTAAATTCAGTGAATTACAGCATTTCACACCAAAATGCATAGACTTAACTCTGAGTAAGGCATTTGAAAATCTGAATAAGGCTGTCTACATGCAGGTTTATTTCAAAATATTTGAGTGTTTCTACATTTTTATATGAAATAAGGCTCCTCCGTAAAGGTTCCTGACTTCCTCCATAAATTTGGGCTAATTATCCTACTGTAAAACTGAATGAATAATGCATCTCATAAACAGTGCTACTTTGGTAGAGATGCACGAAACAGCAGATACCATGGAACTGAAGGAAAGACACAAATATGAAGGAAGGGCAGAAATTCATTGAAAATTTTGATGATGGAGACAGATATTTCATGGTGATTTTGTAGCCTTTGAAACTAGATTAATTTCTAAGGCCTTCTTCAGTTATAGTATCTAGTGGTTTCTCCGGGTTTTATTTTCAGACTCCTGATTTGTGCCTTATTGCATGTTAGAGACTACATGAATATTAATATTGGTAAAATGTTTAGGGTTCAAATCCAACAAAAGATGCTCAATACTTTAAAGTTACAAGATAAGTATGAAGACTAGAAGGTTTCTGGGGAAAAGAAAAACGGCTATTTTTAGACCTCTGTTGCTATAATTTGATTTATATTTATAATTTGATATATTGATACTGCTGGAAATTATCACACATTTAATTTTGGAATGTCTGAACATAAAACATTAAGCTTCACTGTAAATAGAAACATTCATGGTAAAGACACTCAGAAATAATCTTTGGAGCATTGACGATTTGTGTGTATGAATTATATAAATCAAATTGTTATACAGAATAAATGATTTTTTTTTTTCCTAGTGGGTATTCCCACAATTAAGTGGTGTGGAGCTGAAGGGGACTACAACGTTATGGTGATGGAGTTGTTGGGACCGAGTCTTGAAGATCTCTTCAATTTTTGTTCAAGGAAATTTAGTCTCAAGACAGTCCTATTACTTGCTGACCAAATGGTAGGAAATGGCTTTGTTATCTTGATCGTGAAATATGTTGGGATATTGAATTTTTTTGATCATACATATTTTATTTCTAAAATTCAGAGCTGAATAGGCTGTTTTAATAGAGAAAAAATTCAAAAGTAGCTCTGTTTTTGTAAATCCAAGCTATCCCATCAAAAGTGATTGCCAATTCTTCTTTAAAAACGGGATCTGCACTGTTTGCAAACCAGGTGTTGCACTGCTCAAAGACTTAAGAAATTTCCCCAGGAAAGTTTTTGGAAGCAGATTATCCTGATTTTGTAAAATAGACATGGGCAAAGAGCTGGAAAGAAGGTTTGTCTGTTGTCTTCTAAATCATGTTCTCTTTAATGCCCTTATATTTTACAATAAAAAGGGGGGTTGCCTCTTTCATTATTTAGACACAATTGCTAGTGTTTTTGTCAGAAAAAGATGTGTGCTTAGTCTCTCGACAATGATTTTTTTTGTGGTTCTGTATTTAGATTAGTCGAATTGAATATATTCACTCTAAGAACTTCATCCACCGAGATGTGAAGCCAGATAACTTCTTAATGGGCCTGGGGAAGAAAGGCAATCTTGTCTACATAATAGACTTTGGACTAGCAAAGAAGTATCGAGATGCTCGAACTCACCAACATATTCCATACCGTGAAAATAAAAATTTAACGGGAACTGCCCGTTATGCATCCATCAACACTCATCTTGGAATTGGTGAGCTGGGGAAAGCAATAAATAGAAACTTCAAGAGTGTCGATGCATGTAATTTTAGTGCAAGTGGATGTTGCTTTGTGGAGGCATAGGAGACAGTCCCTATTTTTGACACTAAGAGTACAACATGCATGGCCTTGCGTATCTTGATTAGGTGGGATTCAGTCTGTATTAGGTGTCTGTTCAGTCTGAGTTTGTAATGCTCAGGAATTAGCACATTTTTAATAACTGCAAGGATAATAGGCTTTTCTTTTACTGAACGAGTTTATCATGGGCATAGTAGCTCTCAGCTGTCTCTTGTTTTTGTAAGGGTTTTTATAACAGTCTTGTTGCACAGACTTTTGTTTTGCCAGTAGAAAATGAAACCTAATGAGTTCACTTTTTTATGCTGTTGTAGAGCAATCTCGCAGAGATGACTTGGAGTCCTTGGGCTATGTACTGATGTATTTTAACCTGGGCTCCCTCCCCTGGCAGGGACTGAAAGCAGCAACAAAGAGGCAGAAATATGAACGTATCAGTGAAAAGAAAATGTCTACACCCATTGAGGTTTTGTGTAAAGGATATCCTTGTAAGTTACTCTTCTGTGACACTAGGCCTGTGTGTTCATGTTTTAGTGGTACATCTCCTTTCCTTATGTTAAATTCTACTACTCTTTCTCATCATCTGTCTCTCTCCTTCTCCTTTTCCCCTTCTTTATCCCGCCATGATTTTACCACGTGTGGTAAAAATACTATGCTGAAGACAGATCTTTTGCATTCATAGAGCATTTCTAGGGATCCCTTGTCGCAACTGTTGAAGTGCCCTCAAGAAGGAAGGGTAGCATGGTACCCTGATTTGCGCTGTATTTTTTGTGCACCTGTTGACTGGATAATTACAACAGACAAACAGCATTTTAACAAATTCCCTCTTTATCTGTGTGGGTCCTGTTTCTTGGATGAATTGGACTGTGTAGTCAGATGCACCTCTTATATACTGCAGTTGTTTCACTTGGGAATTATTGTCCCAGGTTCATCTGGTTTCGCTTGTTGATGGATTAGAATTTGTGAGAGGCATAAGAAACCCTACTGTATCCTAGCATCATGCCTCAGAGCAGTTCTGTTTCTCAGTTTGTTATTTACACCAAAACAATAATAAGCCATTTTTGAGTATTGTAAAATGATACTTAAAGTAGTTTTAAAACATAGTAACACTAGCTGTCATTAGGGACTGTTTTCATTTCACAAAGAGTTCTGTCTCTTCACCCTCTTAGCGTTGGCAACTAGTTACAGTGGCAAGAACTATAGTTTTTGTTTGGGTTGTAGGAAAATTCATAATTTTTTATGTGTTTCAAATGTTGCTTCATACGTGTTCATTAATATTCATGAATTACGTGTTTTCTCTGGGGTTTACAGGCAGGGAAGATTAATCAGCTTCTCTTGTGCCATTTGTTAGAATTTCTTTCTTAATATAAATTATTATCATATTTCATTTGGGAAGACCTAAAGTCAAAAGCTTGTATTTTGATACTGCTGATTTTCTCTGGTGCACTGAAAACCAGTGTACTGGTTCACCACAGTATTAATTTTTTTTTGCTTTGTAATATTTTGCTTGCCATTTAAAAATAAGTGTTCAGGCTATTGTATATTAAAAATGTGGCATGACTTACCTGGGAGATAAAGTTTTTGTGTGTTTTGTGACACAGCAGACATGAATCTCTATGTGCCTTAACAAAGAAATGCTGTTCCATGTCTCACAATAAATTGTGTTCAGTATATTCCAAGCAAAGATTTAAACCTTTTTCTCCCTCACCAGCTGTTGGTTAAAGAACTGTGCTATTGGGTCCTCTGTGCTATCGACAGATGAGATCTTTGCCTGCTCTGTGATAGAAAAAATAATTTATTTTTCAGGGTTGACATGATAGTGTTTCCTTTAGTGGATTTCTAGTATTAGATCGCTATTCTTTTTCTTATGTTAAGAAGATACCCTGCTTTTCAGGTTTGGGGTGGTTTGGGTATTTTTGACTCAGAATTACAAAAAGCCAATGTGAAGCTGAAGATAAAAAACAGGCTTCCTTTAATTACAGCTGAATTTGCCACATACTTGAATTTCTGCCGTTCTTTGCGTTTTGATGACAAGCCGGACTATTCCTATCTAAGGCAATTATTCAGAAACCTTTTTCATCGGCAAGGATTCTCCTATGACTATGTATTTGACTGGAACATGCTGAAATTTGTGAGTAGCTCACACAGCTTTCTAAAACTTAAAATTTTTAATGGTTTTGGTTGGGTTTTGTTACTGCATTGTCAGTTTTGAGTATCTTAACTGTAAAATTGTCTTCCATATTTCCTCTTAGCAACTCTGCTGTGTAGTCAGAAAGATCAGGAAATGAGGAGAAAGGCAGAGATATGGGATCCATGCTATAAGGCTTGGATGACAACTAAATTACAGTTACAAGGCTTTTAATGTGGAAGGCTTCTCTTAGATCCTTTAGGGCAGTCACCAGGCTAGGTTGTCAAATTATTGCTTTCTCCCACCTTGATCTTTAACATGGGTCATTTGCAACATTTGAGGAGGTGTCCAGCTGCCATAGCAGTACGTGTGTACATTAACATTTTGAAGACTATCCAAGCAGCTGTATGAACAAAACTTATGGCAGTTCTCAAGAAATTTTACCAAAGCAGTTGGTGCCTTCTCAAACTTCGATTCACACATTGTCCAGTTCTTCCTTTTCAGTACTTTTATCCAAACATATAGTTGTAAGCTCAATAATCCCTGAAGTTGTTCACGAGTCTTGACCCGTAGGGTGCAAGCAGAGCAGCTGAAGATGCTGAACGTGAAAGGCGGGAACGAGAGGAAAGATTAAGACATACACGAAATCCAGCTGTACGTGGATTACCCTCCACTGCTTCTGGCAGGCTAAGAGGAACACAAGATGTAGCTCCTCCTACTCCCCTTACCCCAACTTCACATGCTGGTAAGTAAGCAAGTAGCTGGGTAAGTGCTTCTTGTAGACTATTCTAATTGGCAGTTTGTTTCTGGGCAGAGTTTGGCCTTTTGGTTTGATTTTTTTCTCCCTTGCTTTTTAGTAGATTGAAGATATTTGCATACACTCATTGCCTGGCAATTGATACTTGTATTTCTATGAAATGTCAAACAACGGCCTTGATTTCTCGTTTGGTTATGTGGAATTTTTATGTGCACACAGCAAGAGTGTAATTTTTCCAGTGACCATGCTAACATGGCACTTCTCATTATGAGAATCTAATGCTGTTTTTCTCACAGCCAACACCTCTCCTCGGCCAGTGTCCGGTATGGAACGAGAAAGGAAAGTGAGTATGAGATTGCATCGTGGTGCCCCAGTCAATATCTCCTCATCTGATTTAACAGGCCGACAAGATACCTCTCGCATGTCAACTTCGCAGGTAAAAAAAAAATAAATCTGTGTATTGGAAAAAATGAGGGCGATTTGATAAAGTTAATTTGCCAAAAGAACTTACCGGGCAATTGATGTGATTTCATACTGTTTTTGCAGGTGATGTTCATTCATGTAAATGCTTGACATTTAGCCTGAATGATACAGGTGTAAAGAAATTTTTATTATTACCTTGACAGCAATGAGAGGATGCAAAATTCTAGAGGTGCAGCATTTTAGCCTACTATTATGGGACTTAGCTCCTTGACTCATTGAGTTTCTTATATCTGTTATCAGTGAAGAAGCAGAGTAAGAGTCAGTAGTGAATCTTGTTTCCAAATCAACAGAGCAGACAATACTGATGCAGAAAAGGCAAGAAGCATTTGGTGAAGAATAGAAGGTGCAATAGTGAAGAAAGTTGTATTGCAGTGCTCTTAATTCAGAGCCCATAAGAGGCCACATGCATGGATGATGGATATCTTGCAGAAGACTCATTTGAAGAGAATGGCAGGAGGATAAATGATAATGATTCATAGTCAGCACTGAAATCGTCTTTGCTGCTCACAGTGACTTTGCAAAGAAATTTTAGGAGTCTTTCTTTTTAGGGCTAACAGTGTTAAATGTATTTCTAGCTCTGCACTGTAGCTAAAACATTCCTTCCTCAGCATATTGACAGTCTTGTCCCAAACAGTCTGTGGCTTGGCTTTGTACAATTTACTTTCAGTCTTACTTACAAAAAGGAAATCAGCCAATCTATAGACATTCTGCAACATTTCTGGGAAAGCAGTATATTAGGGGGACCATTGCAGTGACCTAGGGGTTTTTTCATCATGCCTTACTACTGTGCAGGAGCTCTAACTGCATAATTTTTGCCAGGGACTTGTTCCTTGTTGTCCGAGCACATTGACAAAAAATTAACTTGGTTCCTTTTAGCTTCATCTTTTAATTGGCAGAGTTAATTACTTTTGGATAGTACATGTTCTTACATATGAAATCTTACTGCTTGAAAGAACAGTTTTTTTATTTGCGGGCCAGGTGGATATCTCTAATGAAGACTGAGGGTGAAGTGGGTTGGAGAAACAATTCCATTGTGATAAAAGCAAAGTGGGATTTGGGGCGTAGGGGGGTTTAAGCTGAATGAGCTGTTTCACCATGTAGCTGCACAGATACTTGTGCTTGCACAAGGGATGAGCAGTTCAGGAGCAGAAATGACTGGGCAAGAATAGGGTATAGGCGAGGTTTTCTGTACTGGCTTTGGTACAATATTAAGTTGTTTGTCCTAGGGCCAGTTCTCATAAGCCCTAGAAAAACACTTAATACACCCAAGGATAGCTCAGCTACACTTTGGGGGCATAAAATAAGCAGGATGGCTTCTGCTGTGGTGTTAGAAACAAAAAAGGTTTAATAAAGGCAAAATAACAAACAGAAAAACTCGAGCCAGGTACAGAGGTCTGCCCCTGGTAGAAACACTTCACACAAAAGCCCCTCTTCTCTTTTGTTCTGTTCTTTTCTACTTGATTGATCAGGCGGGACTTTTTGGCTTCTATCCAATTAGATGTTCTCTGGTGTTTGGTGAAGTCCCTGAGGCCCTATGAGGTGGCTTTCCACCTAACAATTGAAAGAAGCTTCTGGGCTTCTTTCCTTTTTTGGGGGACAAAGGTTAGTTTTTGCCACTCTGTCATTAGGGGGCGCATTCCTACACCACAAGTTTCACCATCTTATATTGTTCACTAAACTGCTATTCCTGCCACCAGAAATTCTCATGTTGAAGTATTTTTAAATAGTTTGAAAACAAAGAGGGGGCAATTGTGCATAGTTATGCACAATTGTAAATTTGCATAAATACCCGTTAGAAGAGTGTAAAGAAGTTGCAGTGAGAGTGTTTGCAGCAATATCCAGTGAATGGACAGTGAAGAGTGGGCACAAATTGAAATACAGGAAATTCCATTTAGACATAGAGAGAAACTTTTTTACTACGGAAGTGGGCAGGGACTGTAACAGATTGCCAGTTGTGGAGTCTCTGTTTTCCAGATTACTTGGAGCCCAACTGGACATTGTCCTGAGTGGCCTGCTCTAGTTGACTGTGCTTTGGGCAGTGGGATTGGGCTGCATGATTTCCAGGGGTCCTTTTTGACCTTGGATATTCTGTGAGGCTGTGATGCAGACTTCTCCCTGAACATTTACTTTAATATAAAGATGGTTTTTTGGCAAAGTGTATATGCCATGTCTTTGGCATTCTGAGCAAATCTCAGATGCTTTGTCTCTGTTAAGAGTCAGGTAAATGAGTTACAGTAGTAATAGACAGAAATGCAGCGATGCTACTTGATTGTTTTAGGTTCAAGTGCATCTTTAATGTTTTTGCTATGTTCGTGACGTGTCACTCGTTGTGCAAGTGACGCTATTGTAAACATTTCAAGATACAAGTAATACAGTTGGGCTTGCAGATCCATATTGGTTCTGCCTGGCCTGTAGAATGTAAATACTGTGAGGGCAGTGGGCAGTTTTCTGAGTGATGTTTAAACATCCAGATGTGTAATTTGTGATATGGGCCAGCAGTCCCATGTGGTTTAATGGCACATTCCATACCTGCTGTTTTTAACACTCTGCTCCAAGTATAGGATCGCTTGGTTGACTTCTTTACAGACTCAAAAGCGGCCTAGTCGGGATCTTGTCTTGAGTTTGTTAGAACTAATGATTCATTGACTGCTGTATTAATTTAGTTCTTAAGAAAGTGAACCAGTGCTGTTATCTACTCATGGTGACCAAATAACCATGTGTAACTGTAGTATAATTTGAACAGATTCCTTTGGGCCTGTTGCAATTGGAGGGAAAGAGAGATTTGCTGGGGGAATGGGTTGGATTGGAAGGGGTCTTAAAGATCACCTCATTCTGACCCCCCTGCCATGGGCAAAGAACCTTCCAGTAGGCCAGGTTACTCAGAACCCCATTCAGCCTGGCCTTGAACATCTCCAAAGATGGGGAGTCCACGACCTCTGTAGGCAACCTGTTCTAATGCCTCACTGCCCTTATAGTAAAGAATTTCTTCCAATAAATAAATATACCCTCCTTCAGGTTAAGGCTATTCACCCTTGTCCTGTCCCTACATGCACTTTTTACATGCCATGTGAACAGCCCCTCTTCAGCCTTCTTATAAGCTTTGGGTACTGCAGGGCTACTCTCGGTTCTCCCCAAAATCTTCTCTTCTCCAGGCTGAACAGCCCCAACTCTCTCAGCCTGTTTTCACAGGAGATGTGCTCCAGCCCTGTTGTCAACTTAGTGGCTCTCCTCTGGACTCATTTTAGCATTGTCAGTATTGTTCTTGTATTAGGGGCCCCAGACCTGGACACAGTACTCCAGGTGGGGTCTCACAAGAGCAAAATAGAGGGCAAGAATCCCCTCTCTGGAGTTGCTGGTCACTTTTCTTTTGATGCAACCCAGGACGCGGTTGGCTTTCTGGGCTGCAGGTGCACAATGCTGAGTCATGTTGAGCTTCTAATCCATGAACATACCCAAGTCTTTCTCCCCAGAGCTAATTTTGATCCATTCTTCACTCAGCCTGTACTTAGGCTTGAGGCTGACCTGACCCACATGCTGGACCTTGCACTTGACCTTTTTGAGCAATGTGCAGCTCCCAGGGACCCACTTCTCAAGCTTGTTCTCATTGGATGGCATCCCTTTCCTTACAGCAGGCTGACTGCACCACACAGCTTGTTGTTGTCAGCAAATTTGCCAAGGGTACACTTGTTTCCACTGTCCATGTTGCTGACAAAGATTTTGAACAGCGCCGGTCCCAATACTGAGGAACAAACACCACTCAACACTGTTTTCCACTTGGACATAACTCACTGACCACAGTTCTTTGAGTGCAACCATCCGGCCAATTCCTTATCCCCCAAGTGGTCCATGTGTCAATCTGTGTCTCTCCAGTTTAGAGACAGGGATATCATGCAACACAGCATCCAGTGCTTTGCAAAAGTCCGAGTGGGTGACATGTGGCTCTTCCCGTATCCACCACTGCTTAGCCGAACTGTAGAAGGTCACTGAATTTGTTGGGCATAATTTACATTTAGTGAAGCTATGTTGTCTAAGACAAATCACCTCCTTGTTCTCCACGTACTTTAACATAGTTTCCAAGAGGATCTGTTACATGACTTTGCCAGGCACCAAGGTGAGATTGGTCTGTAGTTCCCTGTGTCGTATTTCCCTTTATAAAACTGGGGGTTATGGTTTCCCCTTTTCCAGTCAGAGGGAACTACAGTGGACTGCCATGACATCTCAAATATGATGGATAGTGGTGTAGCCATTTACTCAGCTCAATTCCTCAGAACCCCTGGATGGATGGATGTCATCAGGTCCCACAGACTTGTGCACTTTCAGGTTCCTTAAACAGTCCTAGACCTGGTCATCTTCCACAGTGGATGGTTCTTCATTTTCCCAATCCCTGCCTTCACCTTCTGCAACTTGGGTAGTGTGGCTGAAACACTTCACTCAGACTATAGCTTGTAACATTACTACTTGAGCTTGCTAGAGAAAATTCACTTTTCATTTTCCCAGTTGTCACTCTCTCATCCAGCAGGCAGGATGGTGCAAGTTGCAGGTGTTGATAGCTTATGCTCTTTACAGTTTTCATAATACTACAATAGCTCTTCTGTAATCAAAATCTATCCTTAGATGTTAGCCAGGTCAACAGTTGTAGCCATGAGTTTCCCATTACCTTTATACCTTGTTCTTAGGAAAACCTAAAGTATTCGAGTTACATGGCAAAGTCATTAAAGCAAATTTTGATTGGAGAGATGTAAGAATATAGAGAGTCATCCATATCACTTCTTATCAAGAGAACCATAAAGAATAACAATTGCTTGTCCATGTCCATTCCAAGTGTGCTAGTTTCCTTAGTAAGTCTTAAGTAAATATACTACCACAAGTCCTTTTTCAGGAAGTGCTTAAGCCATACTCCTGGTAGGAAGCAACATTTAGCATTTACCATGTATATCTACAGATTTGTTAGAGTTCTTATTTATAACTTGCTACGTTAGTTTTGTTACTTCATTTACTTTATGCTTTGGTTTTGTAAGGCAACGGTGCATCTGTAATCTCCACCTCTATTCATCTAGAGGAAATGCATCTGCTTGTTAAATTCCAGACAATGAAATGGACAGAGATTACTCAGACAAGGAAAGCTACTTGCTTCTAAGTAGAGTTCTTAAAGATGACTACTCCATGTGTTCTTTTTTCCAAACTGAATTCTGATCAAATCAGACTGAAACTGAAAAACTAAGGCTGTGAATGCAAATAGTAGGAACTGGAGTTCTCTTGTGAAAACTAGGCATTCTCAGACAAATTTAACCCTCGTGGAAAAATGGTAATTGCTAAGCACAGCAAAATAGGTGTGTCATTCCTGGCATCCAAGATAGTGTCTGCATAGCACCTAAGTCATTCTCCTTAAAAAATACGTACAGTTTCTAACACTAAGTAATGAGCATTTATTGGAGCAACAACTACTCCAAAGTTACTGGAGTAACTGTCTTAAGAAATGGCTCATGAAACTTAAGTGTTTCTATTGAAATTATGTAAATCCTATGGCATATGTTATTCAGTACTTTTCTGGATTATATGAAGTGAATGCAACAGCAAAAAACCTGCGAGTTGTGAGTTCACAGTGATAAACATCAGTGGGAACTGATGTGTGTTCCTGCAGTACTCCAAATTCTGGTTAGGACGAAGAAGTAGAGGCTGTTTTCCTGTATGGGGGAACTGTATCTGTGTAAGTAATGACTGAGGAGGCAGATGTAATGTTGGAGAGGTTAGTGTGGTTTCCGTAATGAAAAGGTACAGTTTCCTCCTTGAATCTATGTATGATACGGTAATGAACAGAAGTGGAGATGTTATTTTGTGTTATTAGTAAAATGGATTGGGAGAACAGATTGTACAGTGTAAGGGTTTTAAATCTACTTCTTTCAGTTCGTACAAAAAGCTAAGAAAATGTCTTGAGTGAGTTGGTGTAGTGTTGGAGACACAATGATTTTAAGAGGAATTAATGTTTAAGGAGAAAACATGTGAAGAAGCTATTGCATAAAACTAAAACTACTCACAAGTAAAGAAAGGCAAAATAGAGGTCTAAGTGAAAGTAGTTACCTACTGAAACAACTTCTAAAATAAGTAGATCATCTCTCCTCGCTGCCTTTGCATTGATACTGGATTCATTTCTAAGTGGTGTGTTCAAGTCTAAAGCAAAGCTAAATTACAGCTCTGTGTGCAAAGTGTTAGACAGAAAACCATACCAGCTGTTAAAAGATCCTTTTGCTCTTAAACTCTCTAAGTGAATTGTTCCCTAAGTCTCCTTTACACAAAGTTTTTAAACATGAAGAGGTGTAGTAAAGGAGGTAGTAAATGAGGTAATGAGTATTCTAGTAAAAACTACTTTGAATCAGTTCTGCTGGTCCACATGCACAGACTGCATCCTGAAAGCAGTGATCATCTCAAGATCTAGTTATGGGTGAGTAGTCTTCATTTCCTTCAACGAAAGGTTCAGTCTGACTGCTCGTGGTTACACAGTAAGTTGTTTAATATTTTTTTCTTGAATGTAGCATGTTCAGCACCCAACAGTCAAAGTTGTGGCAAATTTCTATTGGTAATAGAGGTATTCTCTGTAGTTTGAAGGAAAGATTGAAATGCTGCACAAAGTAATATTTGATTAAGTCTCTTTGATGGAAGAAGTTTTTAGAAGACTGTAGCAAACACTGGCATTGAATAACTTAAGTGTTGTGCCATACTTCCAGTGCTTCTTCATTTTCCATTTCTGCATCCACAAATCTTTCTCCACGTATCCATCTTAATAGGCATCATACTCTGCGTTGTTCTTCTGACCCTGTCAGCTTCCTTTGAGGATTAATGATTTGTTTCTTTTACGTGCCTCTTAATATGATGGAAATGTCTTACAGAAGTCTGAAATCAGAGCTTCTTAAAAGATAGAGCTGCTACTGCAAGTTCAAGTTGGATTTTTGTTAAGACATCTTTATATATTGGGGCAGTGGAACTGTTAAAAATTGCTGTCTTTTCCCCTACCTCAGAATAGCATTCCTTTCGAACACCATGGCAAGTAGCTGCTCGTCTCCTTTCGTTGGAAGGCAGCACTGGGTGAGTGCTTCTCATTAGACACCAAAACTTTGTATGGGGTGGGGAAAAAACTCTTTGGAAACATCCAACTTTGCTTCTTCTACTCATGTGATCTCGTAGTTGTATCTGTGCCTTCTGGTCGGATGCTTGATGAAGCATTGATTTTTCTCTAACTTAAAAGTAAATGTCTTTCCAAAAGCTGAGTTATTGCTGCTGTTCCACTTGGACTCTTAAGCCGAGTTGACAATAATAGTGACTTAAAAGGTCCCTAAAATTGTTCAAGTATCAACAATAAAGTGAAATAACCAAGTCGAAATTTTAGCTGTATGAGAATTACATGTCTCTCCAAGGATATTGATGCAGCAGTATGTCATCCATTAAAAACCAGATCTGCTTCAGAATTATAAAAGCAAAGTACCTATATGAAGACTTAATTGACAGTATTGCTCAAATGAGGCTCTGTCTTGTCTTTTCATGAATGGAATGTTCTACTACAGTCATGTCCATTTTTCACTGTTTTATATTCTTCTCCATGCCTTATGAGCTCTCATTTTAAAAATACTCAGATCTGTTCAGATCTGTATTTAAAAAAAAATGTTCACATACTAACAGGAATAGTTGACCATGAGCATCTGAGAGGTAGACAGACTTGAATTTAGGTATTACAAAGTCCTCTCCACTGTTCAGTCCAGTAGAAGTTTCTGCCTTTCTGTGTGCAGCTTTTGGCTTTTTAGTCTGTTCTGCTTTTGGCAATAACAGGTTTCATGTGAGAAATAACAGCTTTCAGTTGGAATCGGAACCTTAGTGGCTGAGGGATACTTTCCTTAAGTACTTCAAGAGCTTCTTTGATTTGCTACTTATTAAAAAAAAAGCTGTGAGATTTTTCTGTTCCTTAATAAATTCTGTTGTATAACTCTTGTCTGCTGTCTCACTTTCTCTATAAAGCCTAAGCTTGCATTAATCCTGTATCTCTAGTTGGTGAAGAATCCTGCTATTTATTTCTCTTCTTTTTCTCCTTCTGCTTTGTGTGCTTGGCTGACTCTGCACAACCTGCTTCGTGAACAGTTATAGCATTAAAAAGATCCAACTATAAATGACAGCATAACACTTTAAAGACCAGTTATCAGATCTTAGTAAAAAAAAATTTAAAAAAGCAAAAAAGCAAACCTAAAGCTTTGCATTGAAAAGCATGTATGCAAGAGACATGCACATTCTGGTCTGGACTGTGCCTGCCTTGGTTGGCCTATACTGTATGCCTTAGTATTTGTAGCTATTCACAACTGAAACAAATACTGAATACTGATCCAGCTACTTAGATGTTTCCTGCTTCTTAAATTGCAGAGATGGTTGTTTTTCACTTTCGCGGTGAAAGTGGTAAGAAATAATGCTACACTTAATTCAGTAGGTCAAGCTATGGTAATACAAGAAGTATTTTTTAACATAGTGTCCCATGGAAAGAGAAAAGCTATTGAAAATAATGAATTTCTTTTTTACCTTCTTAATTTTTTTTTAATTAATTATCCGTTGAGTCTATTACTGTGCATTCGCAGTGTTTTCATCTGGTTGGTTCTTTATTCTGTACATGTTTATGCTCTGTCTAATTTTCTTCAAAATATCCCTTCTGGCTAGAAAGGTGAATTTTCTATATTAACTTCTAATAAAAGAGGAAAATTATAGGGAACTTTGTGTAGCTACAGGTGGGTGTGAAACATTGTATTGCTCATTGGATTTTAAATTCACACACTTAAATTTTGGCATTTAATAATTTAGATGTACATTGCAAGACACTTGTATGTTAACTGGAAGGATATGTGCTGATATTGTCTTGTTTTTTGGCTTTGGTAGATTCCTGCTCGGGTTACTACCAGTGTTCTCCAGTCTGCTGTGCACCGATGAAAATTATTTTGCCATGGAGGGCAGATAATGCATGGCTGATCTCCCATGTTACCAATGGCTTTACTAGCAAATATACCCTAAACTAGAGCGGAAATTGGAGTTCTCCATGTGACCTAAAAGGCTCTTGGAGGAACATGCAGAGACTCCAGCAGCTGCCATTACAGGACGCTTTTGCCAGAAACCCAATGACCTTAAGAGAACCCTGTGGTAACGGGGCTGGAAAAGAAAGATGGTTTACAGAGTTCACCGCCTGTTACTGGATGGCCATTTCAGTTTTCCCTCCACAGGCGGCAGACTTTACTCCCTTTTTATTATTCTACTGTAACTATAAATCTTTTACTTGGTTTAAGAAAGTTTTTGTATCATTTTGCTAAAATTATTGGCTTACTTCTCTGTAAAGAACTCTTGCTTTTGTCTGATTTAAAAATGTAGAGTATAAACAAACCTGAACTAAAAATAATGACTTGAAATTTCTTGTTTAAAAGATTAGTCTGCCAGGGAACATGTAAATGAATCAAAACCATCTGCTGTTATTTAAATTGTTTACTTTCATGTATTGTCCCATTCTGAGTCAGTTTTCTCATGAAGTTTTTAAAACTGTTAGAAGTTTATTTTACTGTTTTCCGTCTTCATTCACACTGGACATTTAACTTTCTGTGTAGCACAAATTAATTTTTTAATACTCATTGTGTTTCATAGAAGAGGATAACTAAATACCCTGCAGGAGAGTCTTAAGTATAGTAGAGATTGTAATGACGAATTTCTTTTTTGTAAAGAACATTAAGAACAAAGTGAAAGACTGACATTTGAGGGATTTAGAATTAGAAAGCTTGTTCTGTCTCTCTGCTTAGTTTGGGTGAATGGATACTTTCAAACATTGTTTTTACTCAGAAAATTTTGTTTCCTCTTTGCTGAGGCTGGTTAGCTTGGAGACTATTACAAGTGCAAAATAGACATTGCTGCTGAATCTTCAGTGAATTTGCATGTTTCATTCGGTATCCACATGTTTATAAATAAACACATTGATTTAGGCCTTCTGTTACATGCCAATACTCAAAAAAGGAATTCTTATTAAAAAAAATCCTAAACAACATCCCCACAAACATAGTAACCTATTCTTGCCATAAAATCCTGAGCATTTTTACAATTCAATGCATAGCATATTTCGTTCTTAAGTATATTTAACCTGAGAATGCCCAGAGTAATTATCTAGGCATGAATGACTCAGCGTGCTCAGGTTGTTGCAGGTGTTGTTGGCTCCTGTTGGTTGTGAAATATGGGAAATTCTTCATAGTGTCTGTTACTGTAAATGGTCTCGTAAAAGTTCGTGTTCTGTCCTTACGGTACTTGGAACAGTACCAGAACTCTTGTGACTGAAATTATGGGAAGTTCTGTGCTGGAAAGTATGTACAAAGATTTTGTTTGAGCAGTTAGGTATTTTGAGAAATTGAGAAAATTTTTAAAGGTGTATTGGTCTTCAGATTTTTATGGAGAGTAGGTTTTATTTTTTGGGGGTGTTTACAAATTCTTTTTTGCCCCTCTCAAAAGTCCATGTACCAAGTATTATCATTCTTCTTTGGATGCTTTCATAACATTAGCTATTTGCTTTTGTGTACTCTGGGTCAGACTGGGGAAATGTGTGTTTGGGGAGAGTATAGTGGAAAAGCTCGAGAATTTGATCGATTGGTAAGTTTGCATAAGATAATTATTTCCTCAGTTACTATAAACTTTGGTATTTTAGGCATGTGCACTACCATTTGAGCAGTTTTACACTTCACTGTGCTTTCCTTGTAAATATCTGTGGTTAATAGTGTAATGTTTGAGGGACTTAAAAAAGCAGCCTTTTTATTTCCTATGTATCTGGACCATTAGATTGCTGTACTATACTTAAAAGTTGACTGCAGACTTCTAGAATTGTACTCACTTGTGGGCAGTTTTTGTCCTCATAATAGTTAAATTCCATCATGCAGAAAATAGACTGTCTATAAAAACCTGTGTATAAACCAGTATCTCAAAGCACTTCATTTGTACTACCACTGTATTTGTGTACTTTAACAGTTGTGTAAATACATTCATAATAACTTCTGTTCTTCTTGGTGTAACTTACTGACTTGCAATGAATCCTTACCATTTACCTGATGCAACTCTTTTTTCTTTTTTCTTCTTTTTTTTTCTTCTATTTTCTTTTTTCTTTTTTTTTCAAGGGATTTCTGTACCTACAAAGAATATTGTCAGTTGCAAAAAGTTGAAGATACTGTCTTGGTAGCAAAACTTTCAGTGAAAGAGTTTGGTAGTTATGATCCTGGGGTATACAGGAAGAAAGAGAAAGCACTAATTGCTTTGCTCACAGAAAGCATGCCTTTTTGCCAGTTTAAAGGTAAATGTTTTTCTTTGGATATTTCTTTTTTTTTCCCAGAAGTCTTTCATTCTGTACAAATGCTTTTGCTTATCAAGTAATGCATGGTGTTGATAAGAAAGTATGGTAGGGGAATTGAGATTAGGTCAGTTATGGGAGCTAAGATAAAAGCAAGAAAAATAGTGAGCTGTACTCACAGTGGTGCCCTGTGTAATAAAAATCCAGATTTTGATATGTGATTCTCAAAAGTTTATTATAATCTGAGGGTAGATGCACCTTCAGGAACCCCCCATGTTTTCTTATTAGCAGACCTTTAAAAGTTGAAAGGACATTTTAATTTCTTCTCATGGTTTTCATTTAAAATTGTGTATATGCTTTTATATGGAAAATACTACCTGTGCTGCAGTTTTACATAATCTTGAGTGGTTACAGAGTCCTTGAGTTATTTGTGGTACAAGTGCTTTTAAAAACAAAAAAAAAGAAAACAAATCCTCTGCTTTAAGAGAGATAGTAAGAGGAAACATTTGAGTCCATGTATTCCATGAAAATATTCAAAATACTCCTTGGAGGAAGGCATATTGATGAAGTCATTGTTTCCAATAGGAAAAAATATAAGCACAACTACTTGTCTTTGTTTCCTCATGTCCCAGATCCTTGAGTATAGCATTGGCTAGAGCAGCATACATGTTGATTTCATGAATATTTAGTTTCTCTTTTTAAATAATTAAATAAAAAGGTGTTTATTTTGTTCTTTGACTTTTGCTTTACAAGAGCTGCACTTCGTGGGTACAAAATACCAAATTAAAACAAACAATGCTGCTGGTTTTTTAATAGTGCTGGGTCATCTGTCAAATCAAAATTAAAGCTTTGAGATTGTGAGCGAGTGTAATCCCTCATGAACTTAATCCTGCAGTAGCTTCTAAAATTCACTGGATGAGCTAGGTTAATAATAAAAAGGTTTTACTGTGAAAGAATGTAGTATTTTGTTATTAAAAACAGTACATTTCCCTCTCATTCATTCAAGTGACAGTTATTGATTTTACATGCATATGTATAGATTTAAGTGACTGTCTGAACCTGAATTTGTGCAGACTGTGCATTGTTCAATACTTTGGTACGAGGAGAGTGCTCAGAGGCCTGGTCTTCAGTAAGAATCTGTTTCACAGCCAGATCATACCAATTTTTCAGCAGATATTTGCACATTATTAACACTTTACAACTTCTTAGATGGTGGCAGGTTTTTTCTTCGCTTGATATTATTATGACTAGTATGCTTTGGTTCTTTTGTCAAAACCATTGCATGCTGCAGGCAGAGGGATAGTAGAAAATGGGAGGAGAACTGTACATACAGAATCTACAAAAATATGCCTAAAAATGTTCTTTGTTAATCACATTTTGGGCAATTCTTGATTCAACATGCTTAAGGTGCCGGTCTGAGATACATATGTATGCCTAATGGACAAAGAAGGTAGAAAAGTGGAAAAGAGAGAAATGATGCAGATCATCCTAAATTATTAAGCCCTAGTCCACAGTGCCTTTGCTGTGACCAATCCAGCATGTTTGGGATGGGATGTGGAACAAGAATTCATTAGGTACATTATACACTAAGAAGAAAATATTTAGTCCTGAGCACTACAAGAAAAAAAAGTTGTTCAATTACAGTCCTCAGCTTGGTTTGGACCTGCAAGCATTACAGGCACAAAGGCGGGACACAGCTTCCTTCCCTTAATCCTTAAGGAAAGGATAAACCAGGGTGATTTGAGGTCATGCACGGATCTTTTTCTTAGATCACCCCAAACAGCAAATGTTTCTCTGCTCTCACAGCCAAAAAAAAAGGTATTTTGTTTGTTTAACACGTCGTCAGTGGATCTTAAGGCACATTTTTCAACAAGACACAAAAGGTCTTTTGCTGTTTAAGAGTTTTAAATACTAAAATCTGGATATACTTTTTCATTGGGTTAGGAGTTTTATTGTGAAAGGTTTTAAAGTGTTGAAAGAGTAGTAGATGAAAAGTCAGAAGAGCAAGAGCTATCCTTTCTTAATGCTCTGAAGTATTCGTCTGGGAGTAGTGAGGAAGGCTGCCAGCTGAAATATTGCTGACATGATGAAGCAAATATGGAGATCAGTCAAGGAACTAACTGTATATCTAGAGGTAAGTAGCTTTTTACTCTGTCTCTTAATTTGCCATGCAGTCTCAGACAAATACAGGACTGCAGATCTCGTTGACTGTGTCACTAGCAAAATGCTTTTAAGAGCATAAGCATTTTAATGGTCTTTAGTAGATACACCTTTTTCCTACTAGCACAAAAACGAGCTGTAACTCAGAAGCATTGAGAAAGCTGCTAAAACAATCCATTCCATGCTGTTTCCAAAGCTCATTCGCAGTGCCTCTGCTCTTGTGAAGGTTGTTTACTCTTCCACAAGTGGACGAGTGCTTCCTTCAACAGGAACAGCAGCTGTGCAACTCGGGTGAAGCCCATTTTCCCCTACAGTGAATGGCCCTACTTCCTTCTTTCAGACTCAAAGACAGCCAGAGGCAAAGATAAATTCTGGTTTTCTGTCACAAGGGTGGGCTGACTACAAGCTAGTAAGTTCTGTCATTTTAGTCCACTGAGCAGGATATGGCTTGGTTTGGCCATTGGGATGGCCAAGCATTTGATTACACCTTAAGTCTTGCCATTTTAATTAAACTAGCATAACAAAGGTAATAATGTATCTATTAAAATGCCGGGGGGGGGGGGGGGGAGTTTAGTAGAGGGGGGGGGGGGGGGGGGGGGGGGGGGGGGATGTTTATGTAAACTAGACCTATGACCTTTTCAGTGTAAATATACAGAGAAACTTTTTAAGGTGAGCTTAGAAAGTTTTCTCAAAAATGTCTTGCCAGAGATACTTAGAATTAAGCATGAGTAGGTATCTTCAGATCCCAAAAGATAGGTCTTGCTACACTGAAGAGCTTGTAATTTTGATTCACCTGGGTGTAGCCTTGAGGTTATACCTTGAGGAGCCAGTCCTAGCTGAGGTACCACAGGAGCCAAAAACCCACAACATAAATGTATGCCTACACTGTGTTTTCTTAGGAGCTTTCAAGTTCTGAAGAGCATCACTTGACAGTAAAGACAGCTTGCCAGCATGTTGGTATTCAAAATATTTTGGGCTTTGTAAGTAATGACAATTCATAAAACTTTACCTGTAGACAAAACCTGGAGCACTATTCAGAGGAGAACATTAATATTTTTTACACAGCACAGCACAAAATTAATTGCTGTTATTTTAAATTGGATAATGCTTTAAAATAGTCTTCAGCATCATTTACAGCAGAAGCACATATCCATTTTGGAACTGGCCAAACTATGAGTCATGGCACAAGCAGTCCCCTTGCCCACATTAAATTCTGGCTGCCTGTCAGCTAGTGTAAGCTCTTCTCTATAAACACTCTTGTCCCTGTGTAGCTGTTTTATAGGCAAGTGCAAATTAAGCCCAGTGTCCATACTGGGGTGTTAAAGTTAATTTTTTCTGAGCTTATTTTCTCAAACCCATGGTTTTTGACAACCAGAAATTTATTCACTACATTTGCAACAGTTTACTAGAAAAGCATAAAAAAAATTACTAAGTATAAATATACACATTACATTAAAGTGCATTAACAAGAAACAAAATGTCATCTCGCACAAAATTGAAGTGTATTCCCATAATCCTAAAGACAAGTGTGGCAAAGA